TATCACCAAGCCCCTATTTTCCAACTCCAACTGCTGATCCTTTTTGTTTTCAACCTTTGCATTCCAATCACCAGTAATGATCAGTACATCTTGATTGCATGTTTGATCCATTTCATACTGAAGAAGTTGGCAGAATTCTCCAATGTCATCATCACTGGCTTTAGTTTACTTTGGACTATTCAAATTTAGAGTAAATTGGAACAGTAGTGGTATAACTGGTCTTCCTTATAGGTGTATGGATATTATCCTATCACAGACAGCGTTGTACTTCAAGACAGGTCATGATACATTATTTTTGATGATGTATGTGACACCATTCCTTCTCAGTCATTCCTTACATAGTTAACCATGAGACTTTTCAGATTCAAAATGGCCAAGACCAGTCCATATCAGTTCACTTAATACATAGGAGTCCTGGTGTGGCGCTATGGGTTAATGTGTTGTATCGCAAAGTTGGTTTGAACCGTGAGGTCGGAGGTTCAAGTTCACCAGCCACTCCTTAGAAACCCTATACAGGGTCTCTGTGGGTGGGCACTTAACAACAACAATGCCTAGGATATCGGTGGTTATGTGTTCCATTTCATTTTTGACAATTTGCAATTTTTCTAGATTCATACTTGGTGCATTCCATGTTCCAATTATTGGACGTTTACAGCTGTTTCTCCTCATTTTGAGTTGTGCCCCCTCAGCAAATGAAGGTCCCAAAGACTTTACTCCATTAGTGCCATCACAGTCAACTTTACTTTGAGCAGACAGCTCTTTCCCAGTTGTATTTTGAGTGCCTTCCAACCTGAGGGGTCATCTTCCTGCAGTATGTCTGACAATATTCTGGTGCTCTTCATTATGTTTCAATATTCAGTATTCTGGTGCTGACAGTGTTGTACTGCTATTCATAAGGTTTTCAGTGGCTAAATATTCAAAAGTAGTCTGTCTCTTCTTCCTAGACTGTCTTCATCAGGAAATTCAGCTGAAACCTATCCACTATGGATGACCCTGTTGATATTTAAAATACCCATGGCATAGCTTCCAGAATTACAGTAACTCACAAAGCCACCACAGTACAATAAACTGACAGATGAGTGGTGGAAAATATTTTATACTTACCCATGTATTTACCATTCCTGATGTTCTTCAATCCTTGTTGAAGATAAGAGTTTCTGTCTGATAACATTTCCCTTCACCCTGAACTTCCTTTGTTGTTGTTAAATGTTGAGTGAGTTCAGACTCATAGTGACCCTCTATATAGTTTCCAAGGAGTGGTTGGTTGGCTTGAACTGCTGACCTTGCAGTTAACAGTCCTGTGCTTATCCTACAGCATCCCTT